GTTCTTGTACTGGGGCCAGATCTTCATTCCATCCATGTCTAGTCCTTGTTTCCTCCCTAAAGTTTAAGACAAGTCATCCCTGAAGAGCTCCCGTGGTAACATTGGGTTAGGTTAAAATCAGGCAGAGAATCTGAGAAATGTAATGAATCTTTCTTCCTTCTATTAAAAATGTCCAATTCTTGTTCCTAGGTAACTTTTAGGATTCAGGCTCACATTTGTATTTTCCTAGTCTTACGATTCAGGGAACAGAATAGAAGAAGTTGACATTAGCTTTAGAGACAGGATTCATAGCCTTGGTTGATTCTGTAAAGCAGCAGCCTCCTCCACTGTTCAGTTTGGAGGAGCCTGTGACAAACTATGCCCTTCATTTACCTGCCACATGTCTGAGATGCCCATTAGTCTGCCTTTTAGCTTTAGGTATTCAGAACCCCAGTAAAATTAAAATTTTCATTGGGAGGAACAAGGTGACTGAGGCAGGACAAATTATTTCTTTAAGTTAACTAGGACTTAGGAGAATAGGACACAGGCAGAAAAGTTTAATTAGTTCTAACTAGGGGATGGGAAGAGCGGTCTAGAAGTAGGATTCCACTGTTCCCTGATTATAAGCCTTCAGTGCCACCCAGCTGACTAGTGAATTAATTAATTTTAAATAAGGGTGAACATTTATAGCGTGTATACTGTATGCCAGGCATGGTTCTCATTTAATCCGTGAGCCAACCCTATGAGATAATTACTGTTACCATTCCTATTTTGCAGATTAGGGAACTGAGGCACAGAGAAGTTAAGTGATTCGTCTGAGGTTGCTTATGGAAGAGACAGCCGGTGTGTTTGCCGCTTTTCAGTCCTCTTGTGTATCTTACGCTGCCTAGCACAGCTCCTTGACCAGTAGATGCTCAGCAACCCAGCCAACTTTTTAATTGAACCAGTGCTGGGCTGACATGAAGCTAAGTTGTCTTGATGGCAGCTCTTGAAACAGAAGCCCATGTGAGGCCACTGAGAACCTCAGCAGGATTTGCGAAGCCCCTGGCTCAAAAAGATGTTATTTCTGCTTGTCAGTTAATATGGCAGTGATATAATTGAAGAAAATGTGGAAAAAGAAGTAGAGAAGCTTTTAAAGGTCATACATCACAGCACTAGTTCTATAAAGTTGAGGAAATAAAAATTTGGATAACTGGTTATTTTTAATTATTTAGTATCATTCTCAAAGCAGTGTTATTTCTCCTAAACTCATAACCAATGGTGTTCAATTTTTCATATTAAAATAGAATTCCTCAAAACTTGTTTTTAAAAAAATAATCAATTTTGTTTAGTGATACAATTGAACAAATAAATTAAAAGCTAACTTAATGACTTGGCCATATTAGAGATTGTTAACCTTTAGATCTGATTATGCTTTCAAGAATATAGGTTGTGCACTTGGTAAGTGAATTCTTTCTTTCATTTTCATTGAACTTCATCTTCTGTTTCACCCCCCTTTCATCCAGGTGCAGAATGAACATGAAGGACTATCCTCATGTAGAAAGTCGATTGGGAAAACCCTCTATTTCAGAAATAATAGTACATTGTCACGAGTCTTTTTTTCTTCTTATGAATTACAATATCTTAACTACATTAGTGTTCTTTGGCATTGACAGTGTAATGTGGCCAGAAAGCAGTCCCAGGCAACCTTGGGGAAAGGACTTGGGGTGGAAGAAATGTAAAAGGATAGTGAAAACCCAGGTTGGGGCTTTTATACCTTTAAGTCATCCATGCACGTTCCACCCTCTTTACCGTGGATAACTGAGAGGCAGCTGATTATTCTGGCCAGGTCATTGTGAAGCTGGCAAGTCAGCCTGTCGACTCTCCCAAATCATAAAGCATAGGAATACAAATGCTATATTCAGGTTTAAGAAAGACTGACTTTCTGAGTCACTATTTGGAGGGAAGGATGTTTTCACCTTCATAAAATTGTGAATTATGAAAGACATTTCTGTTGGGTCACTGAAAGTCCCTCGGGGTTTGTTTCATTTATAGCACGGCCCTGGGCCTTCTGCTGCATCCTGTTGGAGTGACCTCCTTCTTAACCCTGTACTGGCAGCTGGAATATGGCTCTTTCCCCCGGAGCCTCTGGGCTCTTCACATGACAGATATGAACTGTGACCCCTTTGTTCCTCACCCAGATCATTTGGTTTCTTTAATTTTTTTCTGTTTTACAATTTGCCTTATTTTCTTTCCCCCTTTTCCCTCTTTGCTCCCCATTTTATTTTCTACCTAGACAAGGCTTTTTGGGTAGCAGTTAAAATTTTTTTATTGAAATAGAACATCGGTGCAGAAAAATACACAAATCAGGCTCACTGACTTTTCACAGCACACTCACTCCCATGTAGACAGTACTCAGATCAAGAGAGCATCCCTAGAACCCTGTAAGGCTTCTCCGGTCCCCTCCTAGCCACTCCTGCTCTCTCCTAAGGGGAAGCATTATCCTCATTTCCATAGCTTTGAACTTTATAGACATGGAGTCAAAGCGTTCATTCCTTTGTGTCTCTGGGTCCTTTAATTGGCGTTTTTGTGGTGGTCATCCAGTCAGTTCATCACTGCCTCGTTGTGTCCCGTCTGTATGAACATGCTCCGATTCCTCTAGTCTGTTCTTGGGCGTTTGAATTGTTTCTAGTTCAGGGCTATTATGAACAGTAGTCCTAAACATTCTCATACACGTCTTTTGATGAACATATGACATACTTCTTGGTATTTACGTACAAGTGGAACTGCCAGGGCACAGTGTATCCATCTAGCCATGTAATGTCAAAGCTTATATAAAACACTAAATGATTTAGGCAAATTCTTGGTAGGAAACATTTATAAACATACATAGATTCAATTTAAAAATTGCTACTCTCTGCCCATGATACCTTTTATTAACTTTATTCCTAATGTATTCTTATCCAGTTTTCCAAAATTGAGTTGGTGGACCCATTCTGCAAAAATCCGAAGAAAATATTTTGGTGATAATCCACAGGAGTTAGGATTATAACTGAGCCATACCACCTCTCGGTGTGACATTAGCAAGGAAGAGTGATAGGCTTGTACTTGTCCGCCACATGCAGCCCAAGTCACAGAGACAGACACTGGTATTTGAGCAAATTACATTCGCTACCACAAGCCCTGCAGAAGTGGTGAGAGACCAGCTCTCTACTGTGGAGGGGCTCCAGGAAAGGCAGCCAGGCAGTTGTGTAGCCCAAAGTAATCTTTTACCTTTTTTTACAATGTAGAATTTTCCAAAATTTGTGCCATGGATGCTTTTGAACAAGTTTAATATAACAAGTACAAAAATGTGAATATCGTAGCATATCCCCCCAAAACTGAATAGTATATCTTTTAAGGAAATTTTGTTTGACAGTCAGTTAAAGTGATATTGTGAATCAGTTATTCTGTGAACATGCATGGAATTAAGTTGACTTGTTTTGACCCTGGTGCTTTGGAAACCTTAAAAAGGATTTCTCTCCATACCATCAAAACAAAACAGAAAATCCCCAAAATGCAAAGGGAATAATTAACATTTGATGATTTTAAAAGGACAGTGATGGAACCATAAGATTTGTTTCCTACATTAGGTAAATGTCTTTTCTCGTGTAAGTTTTCTGGGTTGAGAACGGAGAGTTGTCAATCCTGTAGAGACACCAAAGTATGGTGAAAAAGAATAAAGGATTTCATTTTTACAAAGTGATCTTTTGAGAATTCTGTATTTCTTCAATTCTTCTTCCAATCTTTTTTTAAACAGTGGTATGTAGACATGCTGCTATTTAGAAAACTGTCTTAATAGAGGTGTGTTGTGTTTCATTCATTTTTGAATGACATTTAGAACTTACAGTGGTTCTGTTTTAAACGAGAACACTGAATTCAGAAATAACTGGTGGTAATCTGTATTGGCCTGTGCACTCTGCTGAGCTCTGGGAGGCATGGAGATGATAGGCCGTGTGCTCAGACAGTGTGTTCTAGTGGTTATGAGGTGGTGGCATATGCGACGGCTGTAATACTTTGTGAGGTGACTGCCATAGTGAGAATTCCTTGGGAAGGAGGAGGGCAAGTGGACCCATTTGAAATAGGTCTTAAAAGATGAGGAGAGTGGCCTGGAATGGCCTTTTGCTAATCTTTGCCTATTGGCTGGAGTGAAGATGGTGCGTGAGGAGAAATGGGAAGTAAGCCCAGAGGGAAGCTGGGGGCAAGTTTGTACCTGATTTGGTGGCTGATACAGCACAGTAACTCAGAGTGCTCTGGAGCAGACGAGAGACTGAGTGCCGTCTTAGTGTGCTGTGTGACCCGGAACAGCTTGCTTGACCTATCTCAGCTCAGTTTCCTCATCTGATAAATGGACAGAATACCATATAACTTGGAACAGTGTTGTATGAAAGAAAAGAGATAATGTGCGTAAGGTGCTTAACAGTTTTCAAGATAAAACAAGTGCTGGAGCCCCTGCTCTGGACAGTGGAGAGCTGCTAAGGATTTCTGAACCACAGAGTGGTGGTGGAATCTGACCCATGTAAGGCTTTTACTTTTATTTTTATAACTGACATTCAGAAGACTGCACACACTTAAAGTGTACACTCTGATAGGTTTTTACATATTCATACACCTATGAAATCATTGCCATGATCGAAATAATGACCACATCCATTACTCCCAAAAGTTTTGTCCAAAGCCTTTAAATAGGAAAGTCTTTCCTGCAAGGCACAGTAGAGACGGAGCCAAGTAGAGCTGGGAAGTGGAGATGTCCGCTCAGAGGCTGCGGCCATGGTCCAGGTGGGGGAAAGAATGGGTAAGGTCATGAACTAGGTGTGGGGACAGTCGGCCTCCTCTCAGGACTGGGCTGCAAGGGGACAGGGCTGAGCCCACTGCAGCATTACATTATCTCCAGCACCTGACTTAGTGGCCAGGGGCTGGGGGCCATCATGTGTGGAACTGACAGGTCTTCCCTTTATGAAGGTTGCTTATTTTAAACTTGTTTCTCCCTTTATTCTGTTCAGGGCTTAAAAGACAACCTTCTTGCTTCTGGGACATCTAGCCTGACAGCCACCAAACAGTCGCTTCGCCCAAGAATCACGAGAATCTGCCTCAGGGACTTGGTATTCTGTATGGAACAGGAAAGGGAGATGAAGTATTCTCGAGCCCTCTACCTTGCCCTTCTGAAGTGACCACTGCACTCTCCATCCAGAGCCTTGCTGTTTACTGCCAAAGAAGATGCAGGGGGCATTGTTGCACTGTCCTCAAATTTCAGTTCCTGGAAAATAATCGCCAGTAGGGAAGACCATTGTTTACAGTTAGAAACTTTACTAAATCTTACACTTCTCACGGGATTCTTACTGACTAGAATTCAGCTTTGTCTTCTGAAAGTTGGTTATGAAATACAGTTTACCCAGAAGTAGACATCTGCCTACCTGTGCATTTAATTACAGTTAAGGCCTGTTGGGTACTACCTGCTTCATGGCAGCCTGTTGCCAGGTGCCATGTCTCTCCCTAGGACAGCCTGCCCTGAGGCTCAAGGGAGAGGACAAGTTCATGCTTACCAAGGAAACCATATTTCATCCCATCCTGAAACTGTCTCAGAGTGGTAGTTTTCTGCCTGGAACCAAATGTTGCATAGCTAATTATGACAGTCACCTTCTGTAGTTGAAGGTGACAAGCCACAGAACAGGGTCTGTGGTGATTGGTCAGTGGACTCCCAGTGTTGTCAAAACATAGACCAGTGGGCATGGTATGTGTCTGCGGTGGTGGCGCTCTGGTTTATGCCACCATATGCTTGTGATGCCAAGGGAGGGGACAACCTTGCCAGGGAAACCTTAAAATTGAAACTGCTGGTATACCTCATGGAAAAGTGGGAAAGGTGGAAAGTATCAGAAAAAGAAGGATGGGGACTTGTGTTCCAACTGAGAACAAGAAATGACAGTGGCATTGTAGAACAGGAAATGTGCCATGGTGCTGCGGGTGCCTAATGGGCAGCGGAGGAAGTGGGACTCCAAAGCAACTGGCATGTGTTCTGTTCACAGGAAGAAGGTCACTGCCCAACCAGAAAGGAAGATGTGTCATGCATTTCTAAATTACAGTTCTTCTAAGGAAAGAATTATTGTTTTAAATCTCAAGAAGTTTTGTAAAATCTTTGTTTACCTTAAGTTTTAAGTGTCCTGTTGCATTTAAAAAATCCTGGTTGATGATTAGAAATTTTTAACAGTAGGACTCCGTTTTGGATTCTACACTCAAAAGGGAATGTCAGCATCTCACTCTTGAGATCTTGGCTCTAAATATATTATGAGAAGCATGTTACATATACTCATCTGAGGAGGAAGCTGATGTTTTGCAAAGCAAACACTTTTTATTTCTTGAAATTCCACTTTTGTGGCATTGTAGCTGGTAAAAAATAATAGCTGTAGTTAGAATCACATACAGAAAGAATAAATAAATGCTCCAAGACAATTTTTTAAAAATGGGAAAGCTGTGCTACTTAGAACAAGAATTCAGGGGAATAAAAATTGTTCCTTTTCATCCTGTTCTTCCCATGAGGACTGTTATTTCCATGTTCTATACTATAGTAAGTGTTAAATTGGCCACATTTTTTTGTCTCAGCAAGCTATTATGTAAAATGCTGTAAATTATCTATATATTAAAAGAGTGCTTTCAGGGAGATCTATATCTACAGTTGTTTTTTGTATATTTAAATGCTTAGCTTTATTTTTTGGTAAAGTGCAGCATAATCCCATATTGTGTATAATCTTATTGATCAGCTGTTAAAAATTATTTCAGATACTTCATTAAAATAATTATTTTATTATAATAATAACTTTGTTCAGTCATTGACTTTGAAAACCAGGGTATTTAATAGTCAGCACCTGAAGCTGGGGACTGGGCAGCAGGTCTTTCTTGGCCCTGATCGTGACTTAGTTTGGAGTGTCAGCATTTGGGTTCCAGAACCTCACTTCAGATCCAAGTTACTTGTCACTTTGTTAGAAATCGCTGTAAATTTGCAAGCTATTTGACTCCTAAGGAAAGCCAAGCATATTCATTACACAAGCTTTTCTTGGCCCATCCAGGTTTTCTTACTAAGGTATTCTTTTCAAAGCTTATTTTTAATACATGTTTTTAAACTTTGCCTTGTGGAAAACATCTCACACACAGAGCCAGTGCACTGTGTCCAAGGTATTCTAACGCTCAGTTTGCAAACAGAGGCCTTAGGGATACATTGGATCTGTAAATGCATTTCTCTGTGACTCACACAGCATTGCTGATATTTTAATTCATGAAAATCTGAATTTCCACTTCTGAAAAATTAGAAGAACTGGAATCACTAGGTGTGCCCTTCTGTATGGAGCCAACGCACACCTGTCCCCTTGAGACGGGGGAGGAGGGGTGTAGGTTCACCTTCTTTGTCTGATCTCTAAGCCCTGTAGTTTGTGACCTTCCACTTTCAGTATTTATCTTGGGGGAGGAATAGTCAAAGGAGAAAATACTAGAAATTCTCCATCTACTTTTTTTTTAGCAACTTTATTCAGACATATTTTACATATAAAAATTGACCCATTTCATTTATTTTTAGTATGACTGATCGACCTTTTAAATTGTTTCCTCCTGACTATCTTTAAGATTCTTCTCCTCTTAAAAAGAAGTGAAGTTTAATATTCTTCTAAAGTCTATATTTCTTAAAACCTACATTTGAGGTAAATTTTATATCACTCGAATTTTGGCAAACCTTTTTTTAGAATTAAGTCCATTCAAACTAGTTATGTTATGGTTGCAGCAAAGAACACAATGTTAAGGTATATTGTTCAGAAAAATGTAGAACCAAGATCTCAGACTGATTAAACCTTTTTTTAGAATTAAGTCCATTCAAACTAGTTATGTTATGGTTGCAGCAAAGAACACAATGTTAAGGTATATTGTTCAGAAAAATGTAGAACCAAGATCTCAGACTGATTAAGTTGGACTTTACGTCTGCCTAATTGTACAATGAACCAAGTGTTTATAAAATTTCAACTCAGTGATTCTGCAGGAAATAAAAGTATAACGTCATATGCTTATGTATGACATGGTAGCCAGTTTTTATTTTTATTTTTGTTTTTAGCATTACTGTCATTTCATGTACTTTCACACCTTGCTTCAGTGAAATGACAGCTCTTTGTGTTTAGATGTAGGCATGATTTACATCTGATGCCAATGTTTTTTTCTTTTCATCCACTTCTTAGTATTTTCATTAGTGTATTTGCTTTTTCACTGAAGTTGTTTTACCAGTTGGAAATTGGTCCTCAGTAGAGTATTTCTTTTGGGAAACATTGAGAGACTGTGCTCTTTAAACCTAAAGTGTTCGCCACCATATACTTGAAAGCTGAGTAGTCAGGTGAGAGGAACAGATCGGTAAATATGTAAACCCCATACTTTGAATATTTGCGGGAAGAAAATATTCCCAAGGAACTTATTTTGAGACTTTTGACTTTGTTGGTATACTATGATGAAAGCAATTTTAATGGCAGCTTCTCCTTTAAAATAATGCCAGGTTGATATCTTTCTAAGGTCTCTTACTGTAGGTTGTATTTAGACACTATTGTCCTGGGTACCTATTTTGGTCTTGCCTCTTTGCGAGCTGTGTAACCTTTATTTAACCTCTCTGTCTTTGTTTCCCCATTTGTAAGTGATAGTATGTATCTGTGAGGTCATTGTGAGAACTTAATTTTCATATGTGAAGTCCATAGAATAGTGTATCACATGTGTGTTAGTAATGGTGGTGGTTAAGGTTATATCAATTCCGAATGGCATAACTCTGCCTCCTGCCTACCTCCAATGCTGTATTGTATAAATCATAGTCACTACTTGAATGCATAACCTAGTGTCTTATTTGAATACAATAATCTAAGATCATGCAAAATTCTTAGTATTACATTGGGGATTGGAGGATGGGAGGCTAAGGAGAAAGGTATGATACTACAGTGGAGTCATTAAATAGAGTAATTCTATGTCCATGGCTTTGCCTGATAAGTTTCCTGTAGGGTTGGAAGCAGTAATGAAGCATGGCATTATTTCCAAAATTTTAATTGAAAATATTATAGATAAATATGGTGAACATTCAAACGGTGTAAAGGAACATACTAAAGTAATTCTCTAACCCGTAGACCTCCCTCATCTCATGCTCTGCCCCCTAGATTCACCACTTAACAGTTTCATCTCTTTGCAGACGGACACATAAGCATATAGTTGTATATGCCTCTTCATTTGCATGTGGCAGCATACTGATCGCCGTTTTCTCAATCCCATTGTTCTTAATTCAGCTGTACTGTGTTCCAGGCCAGGGGTCCTAGTAGCATCTTGCTATAACCTTTGGGAAAACAACATATGAGCTTTTCCTTGGGATTTGTCACAGATTTTCTATTTTCTAAATTTTACTCTTTCACTGGAAGAATCCAGTCACATCTGAATGTGTCAGCAGTGTTCCTCCACCAGCGAGGCGTCATGCAAGCAGCTAGTGGGCCGAGGGTGCTCAGCGGGGAGGGGCAGGCGGAGGAGGGAGGGTCGCCAGGGAAGAACTGAGCGTCCAGCTGTACTGAAGCTTCACTTCACCCTCCCACACGAACACTGGTCTTGGAAGCCAACATGAATCTAGGACTACTCAACCTCTTTTCTGTAACATTTATATTCACATTCATTAAAAAAGTGAGGATAAGATCAGAATAGGGATGCCCCACAGTGAGGCTCCTGAAGCCCATGCCTGGTGGGCTGGCACGCCCTGAGCGCTCACCCTGCGCGAGGCCCTGGGGCATCAGGGGCCCCAGGCGGGGGGGGGGCGGGGGGGCGGACTGCCCCGCCCACCAGTGATGCCAAGTAGCGAGGACTTCCCTGCAGGGGAATAATAAATACATAGTAGGTTCTCGTAGGTGTCTTTGGCAAAAAAGATAGTAACTCCAAATGGAGCCATCCTGTTTAATCTCTCACAGAAGAAATAAAATGTGAGCAATGAAAAGAATGGATAGGATTTTTAAAAGTCATATTCTAAGGGAAAAGGTCAAAAAGCGAAAGGATGAAGTCCTTTTAGGGAAGTAAACATCTAGGGTGGCTGACGATGGTAGTCTTGTGGAAGAGAAATGGAAGACAATTTTGGAAGTAGATGACAGTGATGAATAGGGTTATCCAGCCCAGATTTCAAAAGGCACAAAAGAATATTCAGTGAAGTTCCATAGCTTTCCCTTAGATACACATTCTTCATGGTTTGTATTTCCAAGAAATTATAGAAAAAGACTGGTAAGTGTTGCCTGAAAGCCCATCACCGCAAAGACTTTCCCCGTGATGGTAAGACTGACTGATAGGCTCTCATCACAGAAAATCTGGAAAGTCAGTTGATTTCGACCCTGGCAGCCTTGCTTTTCGGGTGGGAATCTGTTCTGTTGTGTTTGCTGTTCGGTGCTTCAAAGCCCATGTTCATCGTGCAGTGGCGCTCGACGCGCCTGAGGCCCGCGGTCCATTTCCGTTCCTACACGTTCTGCCCCCTTCTGCAGGCTGCAGGGCCCCGTTCTCCAGTGCTCGTAATGTCGATTCTAGACGCTCAGTATTTTAATTGCTGCCCTGGTTGTATTCTACTGTGCTAATGGCCACATTAAAGCACAGTTCCCGTGCAGCACAGCAGGGTGCTGGGGCAAGGAGAGCAGGTGCATTGCCCGCTAGGACCGAATCGTGGCGCGGGCGCTGCGCTCAGAGAGGAGCCCCTGGAGCAGCGCCGTCCTCACCTCGGAGATTGTCAGGAGCACAGGAGCTCCAGCCCACCCACTCCAGCCCTGGGGATTCAGAACGGCCTGGGAGGAAGATCCCGAGGGGAGCCCTGCGCTCACTCAGGTCTGAGAACCACGGCCCTGTCCGTGCACCTGGGGGGAAGACATTGCACTTGTTCCTCCGTGTGTTGTCTTGTCAGTGTGGGTCTCTCATCGTAGCCGGTCACAATCATTTACATTACATTTGATTCTGTCGAGTATGGAGAACATTTGAGTTCACGTTACAGAATCAATTCTATCATTATCCCCCTCAGCCTAGGGTCACCCAGCCAGTTCGTGAGCATGCCGTCTGTGTTCCCTCTACGTGCCCATAAATGCCTTCCACAAGGCAGGGCCAGAAGGTGCTGAAGCCTGCTGCTGTGCTCCGATCACCCCATTAGCCCTGATGGCCCTCTAAGGCCCCCTGGGCCGGATCCACTGGGGGTGCTAGTGTGGAGTTCACCGGGGTTTCACGTGCATCCCTGGAGAACTGCTCAGGTGTACGCACACCCAGCACCCGGTTAACCAGCACAGCAGCCATCTCAAAGGACAGCATGGTGACTGTTTGAAGATCCTCATCTGTTATAGGTTACGGTGGGCCCCCACCCCAGACTCTGATGTGACATTCAAGCCCCCAGGATCTCAGACTGGACTGTGTCCGTGGTCGGATCCGCCGGCCGGGGAGAGGCCTCACAAGAACCCCGCCCTGTGAATATCTTGATCTTGGACTTCTAGGCTCCAGAATCATGAGAAAGTGAATTTGCTTGAGCCCCTGTTGGTGATAATTTGTTACAGCAGCCCCAGCAAACCGGGGCACCAGCCCCTGCCTCTTCTGCTGTGGGGCACCTGGGCCTGGCCAGCTGCTCTGAGGTGATGCCTGCCTTCCTGGCTGTGTGAGAACTGGGGGCATAAATGATGCTACTTCTAAAATGCCTGCAGGGAGTAAAGTCAAGTCCGGGTGAAGTAAAGGATTGCTTCAAACAAAGAATGCCCTAGCGTCACAAGGTGCAGAGGAACACAGGTGTCTGCATTCCTGAATTTAATCAGA